ATGAGTTGGTTGTTCAAGACTCTCTGGCTTTCAGTGTTCAGTGTACAGGCTCCGTATCAAATATGGGCCAACACCTTCTTACTCGAACTCGTCAAGTCGAGTCATTGATGGCTAAGGTGGCGAGTCTTAAGCAAGATATTAGAGGGCTTAAGCGTGAAAACAGAGAGTTGCACATGCTTGCCAATAGTTACTCAACGAGCATGAAGAGAAAGCTTGACCAGCTGCAGGAATCCGAAAGTCGGATTCAGAGTGACCATAAGATGTTTGTGGCTTTACTCCAAAGGCACATATTGTCTTCATCCTTTGGAGTTTTACCAAGTGTTGAGGCTCCAAACAATCAACCTCCGGCGCCTCTTCTTCCTGGAGTTCCACCGAGTGATGAGGCACCACCTGATCAACCTTTGTGAAGGCTCATTCCTGTTTGCTGCTCCCTTTTTTTTTTGTCTCATGTAAAATGTACATTTATGTAAATTTTTAGAGAAATCAATAAATGAGGCTTTTTTCATTCAGTATATGTGTGTGTGTGTATATATATATTTTTTTTCACATGGTGCTGATCCACCATTCATTTATATATATATATATATATATATATATATATATATATATATATATATATATATATATATATATATATTCTTTTCTTTTCTTTTCTTTTCTTTTCTTGCACATGGTGCCAGATGCACCTTCCATTTTTTAATATATTTTTTTCTTTTCTTTTCTTTTTTTGCATATGGTGCCAGATGCACCATCCATTTTTTCATATTTTTTTTTTCATTTTTTCACATGGTGCCAAGGCAAGGCTGTGTTTGTGGGTGAAAACCCAAGCCGAATGCATCGAGCACAACCATCGAGCATAGGTACTGACCACAGCCATTGCACACCCGTTGCACTGCCTGCCATTGCGGAGGAAGGGATCACCGGCTACCACTGCCACGTCATCGGCACCTTCAACTTCTCTGCAATCTTTCGCCAAAGTTTACCACGCACGTAACGTCCACACTGGCCAGAGCGTCGCTGTAAAAGTCATCAACAAGAAGAAGTTCACCGGCACCAACCTCATGCCCAACATCAATGAGCTCTACGAGGTCCTCGCCTCTAAGGCACAGCAACTGCACAAGCATTGCACAGCCACTGCACACCCGTTGCACTACTAGGCTTCACGGAGGAATGGATCATATTTGCAACCTGGGCGTTTCCTACCAGACCACCAAGCGCTGCCACAAGACCCTTAAAGTCCACCTCCATGAAGGGAATTTCTCCATTGATCAAGTTGTTGTAAAGATCTAGTGTTTGAAGCTTTTGCAGCCTCCCGAGCTCGGCGCACTGCAAGATAGTCAGAAGTGCATGCTCAAAGGGCTCAAATGTCTCATTCTTCACCGCCGTCACGAGCCTCAAAATCCTTCTGACTATGCCTTTATGCACAACCAAATCCATCACCAAAGACAAAGACTAAAAGTTCTTATTGAGAAGCCACAACAACTGGTGACAGGCGGAGATCGTGAGTTCAGCGAGTGCAGCAACAGTACAACCTACACCTGCAGCCACAGATGTAAGTTAGAAGGGCATGGCTTAGGCCTGGATTTGGGCTGCTCTTTTCTGTTGACTTCAACTTGTGTTTCTTTCATTTGGCATAGGTCTTAAGTGTAGGAAGACCCACATTAACATGTGTACATTTTTTTAATACAAAGAATATTGTTTTTTTATTTGTAATAAAATTGTCTCTCAATAGTCAAACATTTAATAAAACCTTATTTTTTATTTTGACATGACTGTATTCGAAGTTGAACGTTCGAGTTGCCTACGTAACCTTCCAAAGAAGAGATCAAGTCATAAGGTAGTTCAAATACATATTTTTTTTCTGGAATATTTTTTTTTTGTGCCATACGCAGTTTATGCTCTTGCGGGCCAGGAGCATTTTTTTGGTGCCGTGTTGCAGTTTCAGCTCGTGCAGGCAAGGAACGTTTGGTGTCGCTTTTTATGCTCGTGTGGACAAGGAGCTTTAGTTGTCACCTTTTATGCTCGTCCGGATAAGGAGCTTTGGTGTCGCCTTTTAGGCTCGTGCAAACGAGGAGCATGTGAATTTGTCAAACGATCTTAGAGAGGCATTCCTTGCAATCTTCATAGCAAGCAGTCTTGAATGAGTGATTGAAGAAGTCTTCGGGGAAGAAATTGCGCATCGTGATGGCAACAGGCGATCTTTATGTCGCAATTTCATCATCCTCAACACTTTCATGTAGCTTTGGAGGTTGACGAGAGCTGTTTTGCCCCATTTCCGATTGGTGAACTTGTGGGGGAGACATATGCTTCTTGTGCAGTTTATTTGGAGTGATATGGGTCTATCATTCAACTTTAATTGACTTGATTGACATGGTTTTGGAGCATGCCCTAGCGGTTGAGGTGAAGATTTTGAATCGAAAGAGTCGAAAGTAACAGTGGTATAGTTTGACTTCACCACATCGTCAAGATTTAGCTTGATGATTCCTTTCTGAGCCAGCTTCATGATACGATCTTTTAGCACAAAGCACTTTTCCATCAGATGACTGATGAAGCGGTGGAATTTACAATACCTTGGACTGTCAGTACGATCTCTTCCGGCCGTCTGCACTTAGGTAGGTCGATCACCTTTTTGTCAAGCAAGTCTTTCAACATGGCAACCACATCAGAGTCGATGAATAGATAAGTCTTCTCCTCAAGCTCTTTCAAAATACGTCTACGCATCTCTTGATCACGAAAAGCTTAGGCTTGAATCGTCTTGCCTCATGTAGAGATTTTGACGGGAGCTGTGTTGATCATCATTGCTTCCTTGGTGGGTTTCCATGCAGCCTTATCCACCTTTGGCCCAAAAAAAATTTCGTTCTTGTAGTCGATGATCGGTTATTTTTGCCTATGATGGGCGATGCTCAACTCCATGTCATGGGTGCGGGTGGCTAGCTCTTCAAAGGTTCGTGGTTTGATGCCATGAAGGATATATTGTAATCCCCATTGGATGCCTTGGACGCACATCTCGATTGAGGAGTTCTCCGAAAGCCTGTCCTTACAGTCGAGGCTTAAAATGCACCATCGATTGATATAGTCAACAACTGGCTCATCTTTCCATTGCTTCGTACTTGTCAGCTCTAACATACTTACAATGCGGCGGGTGCTGTAGAAGCGGTTAAGGACTTCCTTTTCCAATTGCTCCCAACTACTGATAGACTCAGGCTCTAGGTCTATATACTACTCAAAGGCGTTTCCTTTCAACGAGTGCACAAACTGCTTGGCGAGGTAGTCTCCTTTCGTCCCCGCATTGTTGCAAGTTTCAACGAAATGGGCGATGTGTTGCTTAGAGTTTCCCTTTCCATCAAACTGCATGAACTTTGGTGGTTGATAACCCCTTGCCATCTTCAAGGTGTCAATCTTTTTGGAGTAGGGCTTTGAGTACAACACGGAGGTATATGAGCTCCCTTCGTACTGTGCCTTGATGGTGTTAATGATCATCTCCTGCAGCTGCTAAATAGAAAGAAATCCCATGAGTGCTGCTGCTTAGTCTGGCTCCGGCTTCACATCGACTTTCTCCACCAGAGGTTCCTCTTCTTCGTCGGCTCCTCTCTTTAGTGGATTAACCTTTGGGTCGGGTTTCTCGTCGTCCTGTGCTTCCAGTTGATTGACGAGTGTAACAATTTGCAAGTCTTTTTCTTCCACAGTCCGTGTTAGCCTTGCGATCGCTTCATTCATTTGAGCCAGTTGTTCTTTAATGGAGGTAACACCTATGGTCATGACTAGCGCAACCAATAAACGTGACTTTCCTTCAAACATCCAAGATGCTGACGAAGAACGCCATTGGCCGCTTTGGGATGTCATCTTGTGCGCCTCAGCACCATGCTTTGGTGCCCTCAGCCAGGTCAGGTTGATGATGGACTCGTGCCTTTGATGCTCCCCTTGCTCCCTTAGCTGCACCAACTTTGAAATGGCATGTTGAGGAGCGGTTGTGGCACCAATGGATTGTCCATTTGCGGTAAAAATGCTTAGGATCCTTCCTTTGGTGGTTGTGAGAATAGCTTGTCCCTTGCTTGATGCCATTGATTTTAAGGTATGTTTGGATTCCTTGAACGGAGAAAGAGATGAGAGGTAAAGATTGTCGCACTGGGCGTGCCAAATTTGTAAACATGGAAATTCCTGCGATGAAACAAGATAAGAACACGTGTACAAAATAATATTTTGTATTAATGATTTTGGGGTTACAATCTCTCCCAAATTTGATCCTTTGATTTGATCTCCGTAAGGTGTTGATTTGTGGATGTTTTGTTGATCCAAGGGTCGTCGAGGCTTGATCTTGGATGAACGGTTGGAAGTTTCTTCAAGAGCCTTCGATCTTGATCTTGAAAGTTTATGAAAGTTTCTTCAAGGGCTTTTGGGCTTGATCTTGAAGAATGATTGTGCGGATTTGTTGATATTGTTGATCCAAAAGGTCGTTAGGGCTTGATCTTAGGATGAAAAGATGATGGACGTTGATGAACGATAAACACTTTCTTCAAGAGCCGTCGGGGGCTTGATCTTGAATGGGTGGAAGTTCTTCAAGGGTCATTGGGACTTGATCTTGAAAGAGGAAGTTCTTCAAGGGCCATTAGGGCTTGTCTTGAAGGAGGATTTGACGAAGAACGAAGAGAGCTTTCTTGATCCTTCGGGATTTGCTTCGGAGCTTTAGAGTTTCAAAGCTTCAAGATTGTGGTGTAAAGTGAATTGGTTAATCAAAATGAATGTCTTGGCTTCTTATTTATAGAATTTCAAAACTTGATTTTTGGATTTAAATAATCAGATGAAATAAATAATTTCTGTCAGGTGTTGACACGTTTTATATTTGATGACTTGTTCGATGATTTTCAATTTTTTTTGTTGAGTCACATACTACGCGTAAAATTTATGTAACATGTGAACATTGAAATTTTAATTATTGATTAATATTTATTTCACTGAAATTTCAATGTCTACATTTTTATTCATTTCTAATTCTAAAGAGAGAAGCTGAAGCTTTGAATTAAGAAAAATGGGGATTTGAGATTTCGTCTCCAGGACAACCATTTCGTTGAATGGGGATTTTTTTGGGGTTTTCTCTATGCAACCCAAGTTTTATTTGCTTCAGAAAGCCATGGAATTTTTCAATCAACGGCGGTTGTGATTTCACTAATTTGTGAGAGCAGTGATTATGGTAGCTAGCAGGGCGAAGGCGAGGGTTTAGGTTAGTTGGGAGAAAAGTAATTTTAGCTGTTTGATTTCTAACGAGGATGGGTGGCTCGACGAAGCTGGCGGCGTGGATCTGGAAGAATGGTGGCCGGCGGGAGTTGGTGTAATCGGGTAATTCCAATTGCGGCCTGATTCGGCGAGAGTTTGAACCTAAAACGTCTTGAATCGGGCATCGCAGCGGGACATCCAATCCCCACCCACCCCTTCCACCTACCATCATCTATACCTTCCCCTTTCCCTCTGTTCCCACTGATCTCGACGAGCTCCGCCGTCAAACGGCTATGCAGCTGAATGCGCCATAGGTCACATCGCCGGAGCCTCCGTGGCGAGGCCGTGGAATTTGAGGATGAGGAGGGCGGGTTGCAAGGCTCCAATCGGCGACGGCGGTGGTGCTAAGGGGGTTAGAATCGAGGAGAAAAAGGCGAATTACTCGCCGTTGAGGAGTGATGGTAACAATGGTGTGAAGTCGCCGAGGCTCCAATCGGCGATGGCAGTGCTGGATGAACGATGACAACAAAAACAAATTCCTGGGTGGAGGTTTGTTTTTAAATATTCAATTACTTTTATTTGACATGTCATCAAAAAGTGGGTCATATATTTATCATGTCATCATTAACGATCGATTTAACAGGTTAAATAACAGCGGTATGAAATTGAAATGAAATAGTAGTAAATATATGGAATTGAAATGTTTTAAAGATGTTGTATGAAATCGCAATTGATTTGAGAAATAAATTATAATTTACGCATAATACTGTTAATCCCTGACACCAGTTTGCTACTGGTAGGGTCTCACGAGTTGATGTATCCATTAATTAACATTAATATATATGAAGCAGAAAGCGACATAAAAATTAAAAATTAAAAAAATCTAGTTATGACTTGTCAGGGGCCACTTTCTGAATTTTGCACAATTATTTAAAACGACTGAACCACAATGATCTCTTCTTGACCATATCTTTAACTTGAACGACACCATTACCATTAAGGGAGAGAGCTCAAGAACAAAAAGAATTCAATGGGGGGTTTCGGTTTTCTGCTCATCGGTACTAATTTGCTCTTTCTGCTGTCCACAATTTCCTTTGCAGTTGACAGCATTGGTCCGTCGCAGTCTATCCGTAATGGAACGACCTTAGTTTCAAACGATGGAAGCTTTGAGCTTGGTTTCTTCAGTCCAGGTAGTTCCAAGAATAGTTACTTGGGAATTTGGATCAAGAATGTCCCGGTAAGAGCTGTTGTTTGGGTTGCAAACAGATGCAAACCAATCAATGACTCGTCCGGCACATTAATGTTAGACATAACCGGCAATCTTGTGTTGTTTGGTCAGAATAAGAGTGTTGTTTGGTCGACAAACATAGTTAAACACGCCCAAAGTGCAACGGTACAGCTATTAGATTCTGGAAATTTGGTGGTAAGAGATGTGAAAGATGGAAATTCAGGAACCTATTTGTGGCAAAGCTTCGATTATCCTTCCGATACACTGTTACCGGGAATGAAGTTGGGATGGGACTTGAGGACAGGTCTAAAAAGGCGTTTATCAGCATGGAAGAATGCAGAAGATCCGTGTCCAGGTAACATCACATATGGGATTGAAATGGAACTTGAAGCATACCCTCAAGCATTTATTCGGAATGGAACTGCAAAGTTCTACCGTAGTAGCCTATGGAATAACCTGACATTCTGTGGTGCGCCAGAAAAGCCTAGTTCCCGTTTTGCTTTCAACTTTGTGTACACTGACGATGAAGTGTACTACACATACAAACATAAAGTTCAGATAATCTCAAGAATAGTTTTGAACCAAACCATAGGTAAATGTGCTCGCTATTATTGGGATGCCATAGATCCACATTGGGGGCAGTTTTCGTCAAGGCCTAGGGAGCAGTGTGATCAGTATCACCTCTGTGGAGCCAATGGAAAATGTACTTTTGACAATAATCAGGTCTGCCAATGTCTGAAAGGATTTAGGCCTAAGTCTCAAGAAAAAGGGAACTTGACCGACTGGTCTCTTGGATGTGTGCGCAACAAACCTTTAAGCTGCCAAGAAAAGGATAAGGATGGTTTTCTTAATTTCACTAGCCTAAAGTTGCCCGATACTACACACTCTTGGGTGAACCGAAGTATGAATCTCAACGAATGCAGAGCAAAATGCTTGGGCAACTGTTCTTGTACGGCTTATACGAGCTCAGATATGAGAGGAGGTACTGGCTGTGCCATTTGGTTTGGTGATCTACTAGATATCAGGGAGCTTGTGACTGCTGGGCCGGATCTATATGTTCGACTGTCAGCGTCAGAATTAGCTTTAGGTAAGAAGTAACAATAGCTGCTTGTTAAATGCATTTATCTGCCATGTAGTTCAAATACTTTTCCATTGTGTTTAGGGAAGATTTACAATTGCTTCTACAAAGTTAAATGGTAGTTCACCTTCCTTCTCAGGTACTTCATCCGGCAGCCATGAAGAAGGAAATGATGGTAAATGGAAGATACCATTGATGGTTGTAGTTGCAATCACAGTAATGTTTTCAGGAATTCTGTTAGTTGGATACATTCGGCGAAGGAGGAAAAACCTAAGAGGTTAGTAAACTAATCCGACCATCCTTGCTAAACACTTTCTGGTTTTAGTTTATTGTATACTCGATATGAGCATCTGAGAGAAAGGGATGAAAAATTTGTTCCAGTTTAAATTGATTGAACTAATATTTATTGCATCTTCGTATATAAGTTTCATTTTGCTTACATGAAGTATATTACAACAGAAAAAACAGAATTGGGAGAAAGAGATCAGAGCAATGAAGGGGAAGGAAAAGAGAACCTAGAGTTGCCACTCTTCGACTGGAATGAAATAGCTAGTGTGACAGAAAACTTTTCAACCGAAAACAAGCTAGGAGAAGGTGGCTTTGGACCTGTTTACAGGGTAAATTTGTAACTTTCTTTACAGCAAGGCTCAGGATAACAAAGAATCACTATAGTGAATTTTGCAATATTTGATGCAGTGTTAATTTTCAGGGGACACTAGCAGATGGACAAGAAATTGCTGTGAAGAGGCTTTCTAGAAGTTCTGGTCAAGGATTGGACGAGTTCATGAATGAAGTTGTACTGATTGCCAAACTTCAGCACCGAAATCTGGTAAAGCTTCTTGGTGGTTGTATTCATGGAGAGGAGAAAATGCTGATATATGAATACATGCCCAATGGAAGCCTAGACTCCTCGATTTTCGGTTTGGATCCTTGGAACCCTATAAATTTAGGCAAAACTAACTGCGTTCATATAGGGAACTGAAGTTGGATTATTTATTTATTTTTTTTTTTAAACTTGACAGATAGAACCAGAGAAGAACAACTCATAGATTGGCCTAAACGTTTCCACATTATTTGCGGAATTGCTCGCGGTCTCCTATACCTTCATCAAGATTCCAGGCTAAGGATTATTCATCGAGATCTAAAAGCAAGTAATGTATTGCTTGATGATGAGATGAATCCGAAAATTTCAGACTTTGGCTTGGCTAGAATATTAGTTGGAGGAGATCAGGCTGGTGGAAATACAAACAGAGTGGTTGGAACATAGTAAGTTTGTATTACCCTCATGGACTCACCAAGGTTTATTTTGTTCTCACTTCTAATGATGTTTCTACTTTCTACAGCGGTTACATGGCACCTGAATATGCCGTTGATGGACAATTTTCTGTGAAATCCGATGTCTTTAGCTACGGTATACTGGTGCTAGAGATCATTAGCGGAACAAAAAACAAGGGATTCTACAATAAAAACAGCCATAACCTTATTGGACATGCAAGTATCAGGCTTAAAATTTCTTTTTCTTACATATTGGACCCCATTAAATGTGTACTTAATGATGGAGCTTTGACGTTTTTCAGGCATGGCGATTATGGAACGAAGGAAGGCCTTTGGAAGTGATTGATACAGGTTTAGGAAATTCGTTTTCTCTATCGGAAGTGTTACGTTGCATCCATGTTAGTCTCTTATGCGTGCAACATGAACCTGAGGATAGGCCAAGCATGGCATCTGTAGTTATAATGTTGGGAAGTGATGGTGCATTGGCTCAGCCTAAACAGCCTGGTTTCTTTATCGAAAATGAATCATATGAAGCAGGTCTGTCTTCAAATAACCAAACATCTTCTACCAACGAAGTATCCATTACGCATTTGGAGGCTCGTTGAGGCTCTTTTTTTTGTTTTAAAATTGGTTTGTACTGCTTATTAAGCTATTCATCTCAGATTACATCTTCGCTGTCAAGTTATCAACTATTGTTCAAAATACACTGTAACATTATAAATTTGTGACTTAGATCCTCTCCACAATCATAACGAGTAAATTTTACAATTTTAATGTAAATGAACCTGTAAATTACGGCATCCCTTAAGAACTTCATACCCCATCCGGACCATGCCTGCTGGCCCGTCCTGCTAAATATGGTGTCCTGCAATCAACAACGTGACATGCCACCTTCTTTCTTCAACGCATTTTCCAATCACATTGTCATTGTCCATCTCTTTTGGCACAAGTCTTCCATTTTGTATGAAGGATGTCCCTATGTATCTGCCTAATACCACTGCATCTTCCAATGCCTTGCAACCTCCTTGTCCTAAATCAGGTGTCATGGGTTGCATGGCGTCTCCAGCCACCCTGATGTTTTGCTTGCCTAGATTCCCCAATACTACATGCCACGGGTACCTGAACATTAATGGAGCCCATGTCAATGTTGAAAGATCTGAGTGCTGCACAACGTCTAGATATATAGGAGGAAAGCCCTTGGCATAATTCTGAATCACTTCCCTTCTTATAACTTCGGGCTTCTCCGCCAGATTTTCCATTAGAAATAGGCGCGGTGTTTTGATAAGTGCTCAATTGGTTGTTGTTAGAATTCATATCAGAACTTGTAATTTCACAGGAAAATAAGCAATCACAGAGAGGAACAATCTCAGAGAAAGCTAGATTTCTAGAGAGAGAGGGAAATGGAGTTTTCAGAGAGAGAAGTTCGTTGCTGCACAAATCATGGTGGTGCATATTAACTACATTGCAAAAGATGGAGAATTGGTACAGAGGAAGGGAAAGAATTGGTAGAGAGAAACAAGAAAGATTGTATTAATTGAATAGAGAAAATGTATACAATGGAACTTTTGAAAATAATAGCTATACAATCCCTTATATAGCCATATAACCCAATTACAATAATACCCCTCTAACTATATTTCTGTTATATCAGTTATTACTCCCCCCTCAAACTAAACTTGGAGTGTCCAAGTGAAGTTTGAACTATCCAAGTATTTGAGACTGATCTGAAACTATCCTGGCATTCTCCGACAGACATTGGAAGCCGCAAGGAACCCTGAACTCATGCGTGAGATGAGGCGAAACACTAACAGAGCAATGCGTGAGATGAAAATGTTTCAGGAACCATTTTGAATGCTACAACCAATCTCCACAGAAATTGCAGCTTTGGTGATGCTTTCTGATTAAAAGAAAATTCTTGTTGCCCAGTTTCTTCACACAACGATATGACATAGAGTAAGTACCCACAAAGCCTATCATCTGATTTAACCCCTTTTTCAACTGCAACGCCATATCACCAAATCTTCCCAAAGAGTTTCAGCCACTCAAAAAAAAATGTACATTACCAACTGGTGTAAAACAGAACCCTGTATCATCCTTTCAACCACACGTTATGTAGATAGTATTACATCCGGAGCAGGACCGAATTCTCACTGTATGTGAATCTGCAAGGCTTTCCTGATTATGAATGAGCTTAACAATACAATTAAATCTGGTCTTGATCTGAACATACCCAACAAGTTTTCGACTGTGAACTGAGAAGCCATAGTTGATACTGCCAAGAAACTAAATCTACCAAGGAGAATGACACTCCAAGAAACTAAGTTAACTAAGGAGACTAAATCAACTAAGGAGAATGACACTCCAAGAAACTAAATCAACTAAGGAGAATGACACTCCAAGATTCACAGAAAATACTTCTACGTAGGAGAATGACACTCCAAGATCTATAGAAAACGCTTCGAATCAGGAGAATGACACTCCAAGATTCACAGAAAACACTTCGACTCAAGAGAATGACACTCCAAAAATCCACAGAAAGACTGCTACTTTCTTCTTCAAACCCACAAACTATAAATCCCAACATATTCACAAATTTTAGAGAATTATACTCCAAGAAAAGATACAGAAAGAATGATCCTTTCAGACATCACCATATCACAATTCTATCCAGAAATCAAGAACCCCCAAATCTTTGCTTCAAACAAACCAGGAAATTAAGAACAAACACATACCACGACTTCAGAGAATAAGCAGCATATAGATTCGAGATTCGAGAAATAGAAACAAATTCACCTGAATCACCACACAAGCATCACCAGATCGTCAAATAGCACTGAACTCCAGACGTCCAATCGACAAGCAACCCAGATACCCAATCTTCGAGCAACCCAGATTTGCAATTCTGAGCTGGGCAATTCGTCAAGCACTTGGGCTGCACATAGGTCTAAACGTTATTCCATACCAAGGAACAGAGCAGGGATCAAAATCGCAGAAAATAGTATTCAGAAATCCAAGATCTCAATCAACAGTGCAAAGAATTAGTCCTGCAATGACCTATTTCCCAGAAATCCAAACAACCTATCTCTCCAAGAAACCAGAGGATTCCCCCGTTACCAAATCACAACATGAAAGAGATGCCGCCGCACATTCACCACCTCCGCTGGCACGGCTCGCTCACGTTCTGGTCCTTCGTCTTCCTCGGCATGATCTTGATCTTCTTCTTCCGCTCGCTGTCCCTCCAATTCTCTATCATTTTGGATGGTGCATGCTTAGACGCCAAAAAATCAACCCACAAACAATCGCAGAAGCACGAAAAATCTAATGGAAATTGAAGAGAAACTGAACAAAAAAAAAATGTATACTACGAAGAGAAACCACCAGAATCCATGGCATGAGCCTGGTGGCTCTGATACCATATTAACTACATTGCAAAAGATGGAGAATTGGTACAGAGGAAGGGAAAGAATTGGTAGAGAGAAACAAGAAAGATTGTATTAATTGAATAGAGAAAATTTATACAATGGAACTTTTGAAAATAATAGTTATACAATCCCTTACATAGCCATATAATCCAATTACAATGATACCCCTCTAACTATATTTCTGTTATATCAGTTATTAGTGCACACATTCTCATACATTCCAAACAAAAATATTCCCTTTTACATGTATTTGGATGGCATCACAGCCTTACATTTATATGCAGTGGGTCCATCACCGGAAGGTGAAGCTGCACGACTTTGGGTTACGCCAGAGAAGAAACATATACATATAACATATCACACCGACAGTCGGGCTAATGAAGCTGGGCTCGGGACACAACAAGGCCAGATGCCCAATCACTTATCCTCCTCTTGCTACTAGAAAAGGAAGAAAAAGCAAGAAAAATAAGGTATAATTTTGATATTTTTTGTTGATTTTTCATTTATTAAGTGAATTTTTTATTTGTGAAGTGTAGTATCTGTGAGTGCTAATGTTTTATGTGTTCATTACTTAGGCCTCAACATCTAAGGCACCACAACCCTCTCAGGCATCACAGTCATGCACTTAAGAAGCTCCACAACCTTCATCTCAGCCAACTCAAGTCTCTCAAACCACTTCAAAGTCTACTGCAAGAGGTCAGAAAATGAGGAGGAATGTTCCATGATATTGCTTTAATGTTTTAGGTTGTTTAAGGGTTCATTTTGTTATAGATGAATATGCCCTTAGTTTTTTTTTGAAACAACTTTAGAATAGATCTTTAGTGTTTTGGACAGATCTATGGTGTTTTTGGTACTCTTATTTTGGTTTAATTGTGTACTTATATTTTGGAAGAACACCTTGGCCCATTAGTTGTTAAAGTTGTGGTCTTTTGATACTTTCCTGTGAATTGTAGGGTGTACAACTTGGAATATTGATCTTTGTTGTGAATTGAAAGTTCTTGACAATTGAACTTTGTTGTGAATCCTTGAAACTTTGTTGTGAACTTTGTTGGTAGTTGGTAGTTTAAAGGATGAATTTGCAGATTTAGAATTAAAGGTTTGTTTGGAATTGAATATGGAGATTTGGAATAGAAAATTGTTTTTTCCCTATTTAATTTGATTTTTTTTTTCAAAAAATTGTGGCGGGAAAAAAAAGGCCATACACAATTATGGGTTAAAATTTTGGGAGGGAATTTTTTTTTTTTGAATTTTAAATTTCCACGTGGACCCTTTCTAAAAAATAAAAAAATATTCCACATAGACCCCTTAATGACATGTAGTGCCCAGTCACTGTCCACATAAGTGCCACGTCATCAGTTAACGGGAGACTTAACAACCAAACTAACAAATTTATGAGACTGTTCCAAAATTAACACTATAGGTATGACTTTGGGACGAAAAAAATTTCATGTACCAAATGTTGAAAACCACGAAACTTAAGGGTAGTAAACTAAAATTTACCCTTTATTTTATATTTGAGCATAAGAGATAGTTTGTAAGAAAAATATTCCTATAGGGATGAGTTAAGATCCAATTTGTAAATGTTTTAGATGGTAGAAATCATCGGATCCTTTTCCTGGGCATGCAGGGGATTCTGTGATCGTGACCGTTCATCGTATATCGTGCTGTCAGTTTTCGTTAGATACTATTTATATTTAATTTAAAATAATTTATGACTATACGATGTACGATAAACAGTTAAGATCACGATATCCTCCGGATTTCTTGGAAAAGAATTCGGCGAAGATCTTTTTCCGGTGGAAAGAACTCTGAGTATGAAAGAAAGATGCCGTTTGCAAGAGACAGGATAGTTGAATTGTACTTTTGGACAACTGGAGTACTTTTTTGAACACCATTACTCTACCGCCGGAAAAGTTACTGCCAAAGTCATTGCTTTGGTTTCCACAAAAAAAAAAAAAAAAAGTCGCTGCTTTGGGGACAGTAATGGATGATATCTACAACGCATTTGGTACATTCAGGTATCGTTTGGTACGTAGGATGGGATAAAATAAAATGGGACAAGATGTTCCGTTTCATGTTTGATGCACCTAAAACGGGTGGAACGCGTTGTTCCACGGGACGAATTTTGGGTGAATTTTTATTCCGCCTCACTCCCTGGAACGACTCGTTCCACATCTGTGGAACACAAAATTATAATCTCTCTATCTCCTTCTTCCTCCTTGTTTCCATCTTAGGGCATCTTTACTCCCTCTCCGTTCTGTCCCGTCCCATTCTGTTCCGTCCCGTCCCGTCTGCATACCAACGATATCTCAAGGAACTTGACATCTTTACAGAAGCAATTAGAAGGTTTGATTTAAACAAAGTATTGCTTTATATAAAGATTACGTTTTTCCTGAAGCCAACAATTTATATGCTTAGGATGATTCCCCAGAACGACAATTCTCTGCCAATTGTCCCGACGAGATCCGGAGGAATGGTGCGACCTCCTCTCGTGATCCAACCTTCAATTGATCATCTCGCTCTTCTTTTTTTCTGCCAACAAATTTCGTAATACAGGCTACGCTTTGGTTCTCCTTGGAGCAGCAATTGCCCATGCTGATTACAAGAAAGTTTGTACATCTCTTGAGGCCGTCTTGGCACGGTGATATGAGAGCCGTTACAAGGTTATTTTTCCTTTCTTTCTTTCCTTTTTGTCGGCACGTGTTGTTATGGTTATTTTTCTTTGTAACTTTTGTTCATCAGGCTATTGCATGGACAGAGATGGCCTTATAGTTGAATATCAGAGTGCGCAACGAACAATACTAACAAAATAATAAGAATATTATTAAACTAACTGA